TTTCTTTTTTTTTTTTTAATATCTTTTTATTCAATTTATTAGATTTAGTTTAATTAAATTATTTCGATTATTATATATTTATTCGTTTTGAATAAATAATTCAAATTAGTTTGATTTTGTTGACATCAAATATCGATTTCTAATATAATAAACAACTCGAACAATAAATATTCGATTTATGAAACTCTACAGTTAATCTATCATCGTTTCAACGAAACATTTTCCATAGTTTAATTAAGAAAAAACAAGTAGAATAGATTGAATAACTCGTTTAATATGATGAAATATAATGTCTAATATGAATATAATTGATGAAAATTCTCAGAATATTTAATAGATATTTATATTTCTATCGTATATTAAGAATATATATTTATATGTGAATATAATCATTATTTGTAAATCTTATTTATAATTATATTATTAATAAATGATTATTAATCGATTGTTCATAGTTATAACTATAATATCGTTTAAACGATTAAATTTTTAAACATGATTTGAAATAATCGTTAATCATATTCGATTATTTACGTTTTCATCGATTAATAATCATATTGACAAGAAAATAGGTTTTTTTTTCTAAGTTATCGATATATATATTTATATTCAATAAAAAAATATTTGAAATGATTTTTATTTAATCATATATATTGATAAATCTCGAAATAAAATATTTAATTTAATTTAATTCTATATCGAACAATCGAAAATTGAATTTGTTTCAGATCTTATTTCAAAGACTTTTAAATAAAAATCCATATTATGAAATAGATTTTTATTTTAAAGAATTTCAACGAGTTTTAAAAAGTAAATTGACATAATCATAAATAAAAGAAAAAACTAGAAATAAGTAAATGAAATGAAGCAATCAGATCATTGATAGTTGATGGATAAATTGTTTTAGCTAATGCATATATTGTCCATAGAAGTGAATATAAATCTTGATGTGAACATTTATTTAATTTATTTTTTGTATTTAATTTAGGATTTATTTGATTTGATGCTCTTTTATATTGATAATCAGAATAATTTAATTTATATTGATTTTCACCAAATATTTCAATAAATATTTTTCTATATTTTTCAAATATAATTGATGATATATTAAAAACATGTTCAACACTTGATCGATTTCTTTATGTAATTTATCAAAAAAAAACAAATAATTCTTTAATGATTAGCACTTTTTAATAAACGTGATATTGATATTGGATTATTCTGATTTGTTGTTAGATGTTTATATCTTCTACATGATACATATAATGAAATAGTTAACCAATGTAATTGATCACCTTCTAAAACATAATGTTTACGAATATGTTCATATGAATGTCATGCATCTAACTTTGTTTCCATATCCATATTTAAATCAAGACATGATTTTGAATATAACATTTCAATTGATTCATCATCTTTATTTGACATTTTAGCTTTTTTTTATTCTAAAATAATCAAAAAAAACAAAATCATTGACATTGGGTGTGGTGTGGGTATGGGGTATGGAGGTGAGATGACACTGAAGAGAGCCACTTCAACGCCCACTCAGGATGTGAGTGTGGGTGTGAATCTGTATCTAGGCCTGTGTGTTGGTATTTCTTTCACTCACACCCAAGATAGAGACGAAATGTTTTTGTTTTGCTGATTCATAAAGTGTGCAACAAACAAATATCCATGTTTCCATTCATTTACGCAAATTGAAAAAGAATCAGGAGGCCATCACTATCGTCCTCATTATCATTAAAATGGACAAGAAAAATTTAAAACCATATGCTAGTGGCACATCGTCATCTACGACAAATAAGTCATTCACAGCTGCAGCACCAACGATAGTTGTGAGTAGAAGAGCTGGGTGTGGGTATGAGTGTCTTTTTTTGTTGAACATCCACATGTACACCCTATTAGAGCTATAACAGTACCAAGAAGCGATGAATATTTATGTCTATTCCTATCTACATAAAACTGTGCATGGGTATAAATAGAAAGTTTTTTTTTTGTTTAATTTAGAAGAAGTCGATGACCATATCAAGGTCATACCTTCAATAATAAGTTGTTTCGTTGCAATAGGATTGTTATCAGTGACTATTATGATCACATCAACGATGAATTTCTTTCTTTATCACCATCTATCGTTGTTTGGCATCAAATAAAATCACTTAGTATTACACAACCATTCAATTCAACTCATCTTTGTCTTTTTGCAAACGACTAATCTACGTACTCTGGAACTGCATTATAGATTAGAATATGATACTAAACGTTATTTGAAAGAGGAAAATTTAATCTATCTATTCGATAATATTTCTTTGTGCAGAATGCTCATGTCAAATGGCTTACGATAACTCAATCTTTTTCCTGTGTCGTGACAACCAAATTTGGTCAACATTGCCTATTTAATTGTCGAGCGACTTCCTCATTTGCAAGTCATTGTTCTTACTATTAATGGCGAAGATGAATATGATCAAATTTATGAGAAACAATTGCATGATCTGCAAAGTTCAAATACTCATTCTTTATACACTTTTTGTATGATTATAATAAAATGAAACTGCTAATATTTCTTTATTTCTTTGTACTTAGACTTGTTTTGTGAAAGAATCATAAGAAATTTTCAACATGAATAAAGCAAAACTTTTTGAATTTTGTTTCGTAAGTTAAATCAGATGAAAAGATCTTCTGTGTTTGATATTAAATTATACTAATATTCTTTATTAGTTGTACAATAGAATGTATACAAAAATTACTTCTACATGAAAATAATAACACAAATATTTGACCAAAAGATATTTTTTATTATTAATAATCAATTTATTTCCAGTTACATTTTGACACCAAACGCTATTTTAACTCCACTTCCCTTTATCATCTTGTTCTATTTCCTTTCTCACATATAACTGACCGAAACTAAACAACTTGAAATGTATTCTATTTTTGAATATTCTTATAATAAATAATTATAGTATTTCAAATTTATCCTTATATATTAATATTTTAAAAGTTAAAACTTATTACAACATTTCATTGTTCAATAATAGTAATATATTTAAACTTGACCTCCACTCAAACTAAGCACGAGTAGAAAAGACGTCTGACTACAGAATTTTCGTAATCCTAATATATGTTCATAGTTATTTTTTAAAATCTAATTTATCTATATTAATAAATGAAGTTGAACATTGATTGATAACGAATATCAATTGCATATTCCTTTATTAGAACATTATTGTTCTTTTTATTTTGTATATATAGTAAATCTTCGAGACTCTTTCATGAATAAAGTTAATTTATATTTATACAAAACGATAATTAACGTGTATATGCATATAAGATACGAGATATCAATGGTCACTAAAATACTAAGTCATTTATAACTATATAAAGAAATTACCAGCTGTTAATTACCATTTATTTTTGTTCTTGCATCTTCCACACGGGTGCCAAAGAAAAATGAATTTCAGATGTGCCCTATGCACATTCTCACGAGTTTGACAAGCTTTTTTGTGGATGTGGGTGAATCTCTTCTTTCTGACCTCATCCAAACTCACCCACACCAAAATCAGGTTTTTCAATGTAGAAACTCTCAGTTACAGCTGATAGTTTGATGTAAGAAACCTTACAAGCATTTGTCTCATTACCATTTATATGTAGATAAACATATATGACAAGTTAATCTAAGAACACAATGAATTTATAAACAGTTCATTGATTGAAATATATCATTTTGCAGAATGCATCAATCTAGTCCAATGTTATTTTCCTATCGTATGAATCTCCAATGACTAATTTCATCTTATATTTCATTGAGAAGAATTTTTTTCATAACAGCTTTATGTGTTTTTTTTATCTGAATAGATTTAATACAAAATTTATCGTTTCAATGGAATAATATTCATCATATTAGATGATTATGAT